CTTTCCTGAATCAGTCATTCAGTACTAGCCTGTGACTATTCTGGTTTTTTGCTGGCCCTAATTTTTTTTTTTTTTTTTTTTTTTTTTTTTGACAGGCAGAGTGGACAGTGAGTGAGAGAGAGAGAGAGAGAGTCAGGTCTTCCTTTGCCGTTGGTTCACCCTCCAATGGCTGCTGCAGCCGGTGTGCTGCAGCCCATGCACCGCGCTGAACCGAAGCCAGGAGCCAGGTGCTTCCTCCTGGTCTCCCCTGCGGGTGCAGGGCCCAAGTACTTGGGCCATCCTCCACTGCACTCCCTGGCCACAGCAGAGAGCTGGACTGGAAGCGGGGCAACCGGGACAGAATCTGGCGCCCCGACCAGGACTAGAACCCGGGGTGCCGGCGCCGCAGGCAGAGAATTAGCCTATTGAGCTGCGATGCTGGGCTGGTCCTAATTTCTTAAATGGCCTGGAAGAGAGTTGTTTTGACTCTCAACTTATTTCTTAAACGATGTGTTATGGTTTGCATTCCCCAGAAACAGATTTTAGAATCTGAGTACAAATAGTTTATGTGAGAGGTAATTCCAGAAAAGACTGATAGCACAGTATGGACATAAGGTATAAAAAGGAAAGATTCCAATAACAGCATCAAGCAAGTGACCTCCATGAACAACTGGAGCTGAAACCTTTGGGGGAGCTCTTGGAGACATTGTAGATCATATCCCAGGGGCCGCACAGCCAACAGGCAACAAAAGCCAGATCATTTCTCCAGCACCGTGTCTGCCACTGTTTGCAGGCTGTTTCTTAAGAGCATTAATGCCCTGCAACTTTACACTTGCCCCCAAAGAACACTGAACACATATCTTGTGCTTTGGTCAGACAAGACCTTCGGCAGTCACAGGTATTCACAAGAATCACAGGTATAAGGAGAAGAGGCATCGAGCCTTCAGAGGCAACACTGAAGGGAGGTGCGTGGGACACCAACGGCAAACTCCCCTTTCACCCTTGTGTTGTGGTTTGACCTCATCTTTTCAATGCTTTCTTATTCGTTTCATAGTCTCATTAAACTCAACAATAAGACAGTCCCATAAAAAATGAAAGTGATTGAGCAAACATTGTGGTGCCACGGGTAAGCTACTGCTTGCAACACTGACATCTCATATTGGAGTCCTGGTTACTCTGCTTATGATCCAGCTTCCCGCTAATGTGCCAGGGAAAGCAGCAAATGTTGATCCAAATACTTGGGTCTCTGCACCCATGTGGGAAGATCAGGTTGGAGTTTCCTGTCTCCAGGTTTCAACCTGGCCCAGGCCATTTTAGCGAGTGAACCAGCAGGTGGAAGTTCTATTTCTTTGTCTCTGTCTCTTCCTCTTTTTCTGTTGTTCTACCTTTCAAATAAATAAATAAATCTTAAAAAAAATATATGATTTAAAGAGACACTTCACTGAAGAAGATATGTGAATGACAAATGTGCTAACGATCAGATCATCAACATCATACACTTATCAGAATTGCCCAAACTTAAGAAATTAACCATAACAAGTGTTGGTAAGGGTGTGGAGAAAATGGACTTCTTATACACTACTGGTGGGTAAGTGAAATGTTATAGTCACTTCTGAAAACAGTTTGAACATTTCTTAAAAATGTGAACATATGCTTACCATACGACCGCACTGCTCATTCATCTTCTAAGTATCCCCAGGAGAAGTGAAAACACATGTGCACTCAAGGACGTGTACACAGGCCGGCGCCGCGGCTCACTAGGCTAATCCTCCACCTAGCGGCGCCGGCACACCGGGTTCTAGTCCCGGTCGGGGCGCCGGATTCTGTCCCGGTTGCCCCTCTTCCAGGCCAGCCCTCTGCTGTGGCCCGGGAGTGCAGTGGAGGATGGCCCAGGTGCTTGGGCCCTGCACCCCATGGGAGACCAGGAAAAGCACCTGGCTCCTGGCTCCTGCCATCGGATCGGTGCGGTGCGCCGGCCGCAGCGCGCCGGCCGCGGCGGCCATTGGAGGGTGAACCAACGGCAAAGGAAGACCTTTCTCTCTGTCTCTCTCTCTCACTGTCCACTCTGCCTGTCAAAAAAATAAAAAAAAAAAAAAAAAAGAACTTGTACACAAATGTGTACGGCAGCTTTATTTGTCATATCCAAAAGCTGGAAACAGCCCACTGGTCTAGCAACAAATGAGCGGGTAAATTCATTGTGGTATATCCATGCAATGGAGCACTATCCAGCAAAGCCCCAAAAAAGATTATTGCTACATTCTACAATATGGATAAATCTCAAAATAATTACTCTGAGTGAAAGAAGACAAAGAAGAATGCATACTTATGATTCTATTTATATAAAATTGTAGAACATGCAGAATTCGTCTATGGCAATAAAAAATAGATCAGTGGTTTCCTAGAAATGGAGTGTGGGTGGAGAGAACAGATTGGAAAGAGGAAGAAACTTTTGGAGGTGATAAACTAATTATCTTGATGCGGTGATAGTTTCTTGAGTATATACTTGTATACTTTAAAAATATACAGTTTGAGGGCCAGTGCTGTGGTGCAGCGGGTTAAAGCCCCAGCCTACAGTGCGGCATCCCACATGGGAGCTGGTTCGAGCCCTGGCTGCTCTACTTCCAATCCAGCTCTCTGCTATGGCCTGGGAAAGCAGTAGACGATGGTCCAAGCACTTGGGCTCCTGCATCCTTATGGGAAGACCTGGAGGAAGCTCCTGGATCCTGGCTTCAGATTGGCACAGCTCCAGCCAATGTGGCCAACTAGGGAGTGAACCAGCAGATGGAAGACTTCTCTCTCTCTGCCTCTCCTTCTCTCTGTGTGTAACTCTGACTTTCAAATAAATAAATAAATCTTTAAAAAAAAAAACATACTAAAGTGATATATAGATTCATCTATATAGATTATATAATAATGCATGTGTTTATATATATTGTAAATGTAAATGCATCTACACATTTTAGTTAAGAAAGAGAAGGTCAAAGCAGTATGTCAAAGCAGCCCAGAACTGATCCCAGTGCTCTGATGTCAGATTCACTAACTGCTAGGCTAAAGTTCCATTCAGGGCACAACATAAACCCAGGCCTATTTTTAGAATTAATTATTGGTTTAATGAGATGCTCTTCCAAGATAAAGCCAAGATTCATTAACCTCAGGTGGTCATTTTTCCCCTTAGGAAAAGATAGTGCTGGGGTGGATTTATAAATATTTATAGCTACTGGCCGGCGCCGCGGCTCACTAGGCTAATCCTCCGCCTAGCGGCGCCGGCACACCGGGTTCTAGTCCCGGTCGGGGCGCCGGATTCTGTCCCGGTTGCCCCTCTTCCAGGCCAGCCCTCTGCTGTGGCCCGGGAGTGCAGTGGAGGATGGCCCAGGTGCTTGGGCCCTGCACCCCATGGGAGACCAGGAAAAGCACCTGACTCCTGGCTCCTGCCATCGGATCAGCGCGGTGCGCCGGCCGCAGCGCGCCGGCCGCGGCGGCCATTGGAGGGTGAACCAACGGCAAAGGAAGACCTTTCTCTCTGTCTCTCTCTCTCACTGTCCACTCTGCCTGTCAAAAAAAATAAAAATAAAATAAAAAAAAAATATTTATAGCTATTATAGAGGGTTTTGATGCTATATAATGTGACACGAGAGGAAACAAAGTATGCTGCTAAATCTGACTACTGTGAAACAACTTGTAAAATAAGCATTGCGGGCCAGCGCTGTGGCACAGTGGGTTAAACCCCCAGCCTGCAGCACTGGAATCTCCTATGGGTGCCAGTTCTAGTCCCTGTTGCTCCTCTTCTGATCCAGCTCTCTGCTATGGCCTGGGATAGCAGTGGAAGATGGTCCAAGTCCTTGGGCCCCTGCACCCATGTGGGAGACCCGGAAGAAGCTCCTGGCTCCTGGCTTCAGATCAATGCAGCTCCGGCCATTGCAGCCATCTGGGGAGTGAATCAGAGGATGGAAGACCTCTCTCTCTCTCTCTCTGTCTCTACATCTCTAACCCTTTCAAAGAAGTAAAATAAATATTTTATAAAAAAATAAAATAAGCATTGCAGTGCTCCAATAGAGGACACTGGAAAGAAACAGGTGAGAGTGGGGACTTACAAGGTGGGATTAGGCACTTTCAGTAGGACAGAAACAGGAGAATCAGGTTGAACCCTGCCACATCTGAATGTGCCCTGCAAAAAGTCCATGTCTCAGAAATTCAATCCCCAGTGGTATTTGGAGGTGGAGCCTTTAGGAATTAATCAGGGTTAGAAGAGGTTAGAGGGTGGGCCTATATGATAAGATTAACTGGTTGATAAGAAGAGAGACCTGGGTCTGGCGCTGTGGCATAGGGGATAAAAGCCAGCACCTGCAGCACCAGCATCCAGCATCCCCTATGGGTGCCAGTTCATGACCCAGCTGCTGGACTTTTTTTTTTTTTTTTTTTTGGACAGGCAGAGTGGACAGAGACAGAGAGAAAGGTCTCCCTTTTGCTGTTGGTTCACCCTCCAATGGCCGCTGCAGCCGGCACGGTGCACTGCGGCCGGCGCACCGCACTGATCCGATGGCAGGAGCCAGGTGCTTCCTCCTGGTCTCCCATGGGGTGCAGGGCCCAAGCACTTGGGCCATCCTCCACTGCACTCCCTGGCCACAGCAGAGGGCTGGCCTGGAAGAGGGGCAACCGGGACAGAATCCAGCGCCCCAACCGGCAGGGACTAGAACCTGGTGTGCCGGCACCGCAAGGCGGAGGATTAGCCTAGTGAGCCACGGCGCCAGCCTTGCTGTACTTCCTACCCCGCTCCCTGCTAATGCACCTGGGAAAGCAGCAGAAGGTGGCTCAAGTGCTTGGGCCCCTGCATCCATGTGGGAGATCCAGCAGAAGCTCCTGGCTCCTGTCTTCAGCCTGGCCCAACTCCCGGCCATTTGGGGAGTGAACCAGTGGATGGGAAGCCTCTCTCTGTCTCTCCCTCTCTCTATGTAACTCTGCCTTACAAATAAATAAATATTTAAAAAAGAGAGACCTGGGTTTGCAAGTTCCTGCTCTCTTACCTTGCGAAGCCTCCCTGGTTAGTGTTGCAGCTGAGAATAACCCCGGGAACTTGCTGTGTCCCTGGTGAAGTATGAGACAGCTCTTGCAGCCCAGTGGCTCAGCGAGAGGGACCTTTTGAAAAAGAAAGGTCTTATTGAAAAGAGCAGAGAGAAGAATTCCGGGAAAGCAGCTGGGAGGGGCCTTTCTCAGGAAGAAAAGAGCCGTTGAAAGGAAGTGATCTGGGGGTTTTTACCCCCTGGGAAATTTGTATAAGGTCCTTTTAGAAAAGTGTTGATCTAGTGAACTCATCCTGCCGCCTTATCTCCATTCCTCCCATTTGGTCTGTCTCTGGTCCCAGGTGTGTTATTTATGGTTTAGCCAGTACCCACCCACCAGTCTTGCTGTTCAGAGCCTTGGGCTTGTTAGCTTACAATCACAGTGTTTTTTTTTTTTTTTTCTGTCTTATCCTGTTAATTTATAGTAACCAGCTTTTCCTTTTTAAGTTCCCTATTTAGTTTTTGCAAAGCATATCTCTTAAATGCATGCCTGTGCGTTGCTTAGTAACCAGAGGCCCTCTCCTGACCACGCAGCCCCCTCCCGCAGCCTGCCCAAGTCTAACCTAACCTAGCCTGCTCTCTACCTAAAGCATTCCTCCTTCTCCGGAGGGGACTGCAGCCGACTGCTCTGGCTGCCTCGTGCTGGGAGAGGACGGTGGGGAGTAAGCAGAGTCATCCCCTCTCTAAGAGACCTCTTCCGGGGCTACAAGTTAGAGGAGTTTCTAGTCCAGGTAAGATGGAGAGGAGCCACACGGAGGCCGCAGTCAGGAGCTTACCTCTGCATCTTGGCCTGTCTGTCCAGGGTTTTCAATAGAAGGCCTGCATCTGTGGGCTGCTCTGTAGCTTAGTAGCCTCTGAATGAGCAGAGACGAGTTTACAAGGGGGTTAAGTACACAGGGTTTTCATGCCAGGACTTTTAGAAGTGACACATTACAGAGCTTTGGAGGAGCACGTAAGCCCAAGGGAAACAGTAACCAAAGCAATGATAGTGAAAAGGACGCCTAGTGTATGAACTGTATGGAAACAAGGCAGAGCACAAGGACTGCACACACAGTAAGGGGAACAAGATGTCTGGTATTGTGGCTGTCTGTTGACTCACAAGGATAGTTAGTTTTCCAAGATTTTTATCCTCCAAACTATTGTCAGAACTCCCTCATCCAGGTCAGTTTCTAAGATGTGACTCAAGTTTTTGTTTTTTGTTTTTTTTTTTTTTTAAGTTTTTTTATTCATTTATTTGACAGGTAGGGTTACAGACAGTGAGAGAGAAAGAGAAAGGTCTTTCATCTGCTGGTTCACCCCCCAAATGACCACTACAGCTGGCACGACACCGAGCCGAAGCCAGGAGCCAGGTGCTTCTTCCTGGTCTCCCATGCGGGTGCAGGGGCCCAAGGACCTGGGCCATCCTCCATTGTCCTCCTGGGCCACAGCAGAGAGCTGGACTGGAAGAGGAACAACCGGGGCTAGAACTGGCACCCATATAGATCCCAGTGCCACAGGCGGAGGATTAACCTAGTGTGCCACAGCACCAGCCCCCATGACTCAAGTTTTCACTTGTGCACAGCTATTCACAGTAGGATACAGGGAGAAGGCCCTCAGTAGATGTTTGCACCTTGAGACTTCCTAGCCTCCTGAACTCAGATAATTCTTTCTTTTAATAAATTGCTGGCCTGAGTTATTCTGCTACAGCAGGAGAAAATAGAAGACAAATCCCATCATTGGAATGATAATTACAGATAGTGCTGAGGGCATGCCACCCTACAGACTACAATCTCTTTCCCCTACCATATAGAGGAACAGAGAATGCCAAGAAGGTTGGTGTTTCTCGGACTGAAAGTTAAGGATCTTGATGATGCCTGAAGCAAGTTTTAAAATAAAGCAGGCAAAGCTGAGGGATTCCTAATCAAATAGCTTGGTTTGTGTTGACATGCAAACTAGGTAGAGTTATTGGCTCAGGATGAATCAGACCTACTATCTCCACGATTGAGTAATTTACTAATCAACAGATATTTATCAAGTATCTACTATGTGCTGGCACTTGGTCAAACACTCTACAAAATTCTGACCTATAATTGGCAAACTCTCTTCTATGTTTACCATCTTCTCTGAATGACGTGTTTTGACTTTTTGCCTTAACAGAGTTATAGCCATCCCTTATGGATGTCCCATCTTGTGCAGTCCTCTTAGGTGGAAGACAGACCTAAATGACCACCTCCCTCCCTGCTGTCACTACCTGCAGATTATCACTGCTCCCTCTGTAAGATTCCTGTTCCTCTGAGTACCAGCCATCAGCTCATGCCTCCTCCACTCTCCCTCCCTCCCCACTGCAATCGTCTGTTCTCCCCTGGTTATTGGCCCTCAGTCATGAAAGACCAGGTGCTTGGTTCAGGCTCTCTCCATCCCAGCTCCTGCCATTATGCCGACTTAGGTGAGCCATCAACCAGCCATTCACTTTAACTGCTCCTCTTCAGTGACTTCTCCCTCACCTTCTAGCCCACTGCTATGGCATCATGTCAGTAACTCTAGTTCACATATGCCCCCTTCCAACTGCGACTCTAGATCAAGTACCCGGGCTTTTTGCCTTTACTCTTTCTGTCCTCCCTTCTTTTTTATTTTTAGTTGAGTTTCCTCCACTTTCTAGACATGACTTCTCTCTCTCTCTTGTATTCACTACTTCCTCTATTCAGTCTGTTAATTTCTAACTTTTCTGTGGGTTTTATGGGGTCTTTATGTCATCTAGAAATGACAGTTTTATTCTTTATGGTTTATATGCTGTCGATTGATTCTTATTATCTTATATTTTATGTAAGACAGAATAATATATACAGAATATATACAGAAGAATAATGAACAGGTGTGATGTATGAGTGGAGATTCTCGGGAAATCTAAGCCAAATGTTGCCTTTCTCTCTCCACAGAAAACTCCCCAGTCTATGCCAACTTTATCTTTTATTTTTGCCAAAATGGACTCCCCAGTTCACCTCTGTTCTTTCTGCACTTAACAGCCAGAGCAATATTTTCTTTTTAAAACATTTATTCATTTATTTGAGAGGGGGAATGAGAGAGAGGGAGGAAGAGAGTTTTCATCCATTGTTTTATTCCCCAAGTGCACACAAAGGCCGGGAATGGGCCAGACCAAAGCTGGGAGATGGGAACTCAATCCAGGACTCCCACATCGGGGAGGCCAGAACCTAATTTACCTGAGCCATCACCACTACCTTCCAGGGTCTGCATGAACAGGAAGCTGGAGTCAGATATTGAAGCCAGGCACTCTGATGTGAGACATGGTGTCTTAGCTGTGAGGCTAACCACCTACCCCCATTGCAATCTTTGAGCAAACACGGCTTAAGTCATTGCCTCACCTTATAGCCCCCAGTGGTTGATGGTTGCACCTACATTAAAACCCCAAAGCTTCAACAGTCTGCCTCTTCAAGGCTTGCTTTTCTCACTAGATTTTACCCTCATTGCCTTCTTCCTTTTTTTTTTTTTTCCTGAAGGTGACAAAGCCTTCCTGTCCAAGGTCCTTTTCAGTGGCCATTCCTTCTGCCTGGTTTGCTGTCTGTCTCCCACTTTGCCTGGAAAACACCTAACCATCGCTCAGGTACCAGAGCCCCACCCCTGACTCCAGAAACTTACGCAGCTCTCTCACATACTTCATTTAACTCTTCAGCTCTCCTTCAAAGCACTTACTACTTTTTGTAATTATGTGTATTTATTTGTGTGGCTACTTAATATATGTCTTTCCTATTCCACTAAAAGCCCTGTGTTTACCCCTTCATCCTTTAGCTTATGGCATTTTGCCCAGAAAATAGCATGTTCTAATAAATATTTATTGAACAAATAACAGATGAATGAGGATATAAAGATGAATGAGACACAATCCTGGCTCCAGAAATGCACTCACAGATCTTCCTTCCAGTCTCAACAATATGATTTCCTGACTAGGCTTAGACATGGCGGTGAGGAGCAGGATGCCATGTTGCCTGATCCTGGCTTCGTCTCCTGAGAGGCCTCATTAGGTCAGAAGTGGACTTGTACAATCAAGTAGAGCTGCTTGAAACAGAGCTGCCGTAAACAGCAGGAGAAGACGCAGCAAAAACGGGGGCAAGAAATTAAATCCAGGATCGGTTCATTACCCAGCCAAACCCAGAGGCTGGCCAAATAGCCACAGTTGGTTTGAATTTAGACCTAAACAATTCAACACTGAGAACACGCTCCTTTTCACACATTTATTTTTTATCCCTAATTGCTTAATAAAAGGAAAAAATTTTAAACTTGTGTTGCATGGGAGTAACTAAGGAAAAGATCCATGCTTTGTCCCAAAGGAAAATCAAGAGGCAGCAACTGTGAGCTTCCAAAGTCAGAAGCAGCCACAATTACTTGAAGAGTGGAGTCCCCCAAGTTCAAATGCAGTTTGAATAGTAAATGTTGGTTCCTTTTTAGAGATTCCATCCTCCTTCCAATCCTGGAAGCTAAAACATTCCTCACTTGTCCCTGTGCCCTCCCTGACCTCTCCCTGTGCCCAGCCTCTCCTCCCTCCCTGAGATCCTCACCTGTGTATCTTGTACCTTGAACCTGGCTCTTTCTCTGTTGGAAGCATCCCCCTGACACATAAATATGCTTCTCTCTCCTTTCCCTTGACTTCATGTTGCCCTCTGGCTACTACATAATTTATATCTCCCTTTCTCATTAATGTCTCCCCATTTCCCTAACTCCCTCTCACTTCTTGATCCACTGCAACCTGGCTACTGACAGGTAATTCTAGAACCTCCTCTAAATGATATCCTACCTGACAAATCCCAAGAGCATTTTCCAGTGTTTATCCAGTGATGTGCTATAGAAGGCATAGAAAGATAAAAACCCACATGTTCTTATCCATCTTGGGGCATGTATTCAGCCTAGCAGGTAAGACACCAGTTAAGTTGCTTGCAACCCGTATTGGAGTGCTTGGGTTTGAGTCCCGCCCCACTCCTGATTCCAGCTACCAGCTAATGCTGACCCTGGGAGGCAGCAGTGATGGGTCTCTACCACTCATGGATTGAGTTCTTACCTCCCAGATGTGACCCAGACAAGCCCCAGCCACTGTGGATATCTGAGGAGTAGATCAGCAGATGGATGGAACTCTCTGTCTCTGCCTCCCAAATACATAAATAAAACTTTCAAAAAGGAAAGTTGACCCCACAGAAGTAGAGAATAGAATAGTGTCATCAGAGGCAAGGAAGAGGTAAGGGTGGAAGGGGAATCGTTAGATAAGGGGTAACAGATTACACGTGACGGGAACACTAAATTCCTGTCTTCACCAGCATAGTTGGTGACTATAGTGTACAATTCATCATGTATTTTAAAAAGAACCAGGAAGAGAAGAATTTGATGCTTCCCAACACAATGAAATGATAAATGTTTGAGAAGATAAAAAATGTGGAGGCTGGTGCTGTGGTCCACCTGCAGTGCCAGTATCTCATATGGGTGCCGATGGAGTCTCAGCTGCTCCACTTTTCATCCAGCTCCTGTTGATGACCTGGGAAAGCAGTAGAAGATGGCCCAACTGCTTGGGCCCCTGCACCCAAAGGAGGCTCCTGGCTCCTGGCTTTGGATCAGCACAGCTCTGGCCGTGGTGGCCATCTAGGGAGTGAACTAGCGATAGAGGATATCTCTCCCTCCTTCTCCCTCTCCTTTCCTCTCCTTCCCTTTCTCCTTCTCTCTCCTTCCCTCTCCCCCCACTTCTCCTCTCTCTTTCTCTCTGCCTCTGTAACTCTGCCTTTCAAATAAAATAAATCTTTCAAGAGAAAAAAACTAAGCCCAATGGAAACATTTTCATATCATGTTCAAAATTTTCTCCCAGTCAGTATCCCACTAAAGCTGTGATTCCCCAAAGTACTGTGGAGCCCAGTAATCTTCTTATGAATTTGATCAATATGGAGCACCAAGCAAAATCACACAAGGAACAGGAGCTGTCAGGAAGAGTGCTCCACGTTACCTGCTTGTTCCCTCCATAGTTTATTTTTGAGGAAAATCTATATGGTTTCTGTGGGGAGCAACTGGGAGCAACTCGGACTGGACTAAGTTACTGGAATTAAGACTTATTCTATGCATCTGCTTTCCCACAATATGGCGCTGATAAGGGAGTAACAGCTTCTACACAGCTGCCTCCAGTTCAACCAATAAACTGTAGGACCTGCTCCTGATTGGAGGAGAGCAGCGTACTTGGCGTGTGGGTAGCAGAGTTGGGATTGGTGGAAGAGGACTATAAAGGAGGAGAGAGACAACATGCACCAGGAACATCTAGGGGAACATCTATTTGAAGGAACACCTGTGCAGCCCCCGAGAGAGCCGGCCGGCGGTGTGCCGCTCCCCCGCGGAAGTGGGGAAAAGTGGCCAGGGGGAACCGCCCTTCCACGGAGGTGGAAGGGACAGTAGCCAACCCGGGAAGAACCAGCAGCAAACCCGGGGAGGGCCGAGCAGACAAAAGAACAACGCAGGGTCCTGTGTCGTTCCTCCGTGAAGAGGGGGAGCGACAGGTTTCCACTTAACA